GGGAACGGAGACGTTCCGTCGGATGACGATGAATGGGATTTTCGCATAGAAAGCCTATCAGCTTCGATCAATATAGAACGAACCAATGGCAAAGAAATGTCATGGGTCTGCATATTTTGCATAGTGTAACTCCGCCTCACCTTGTGGGTATTTAAGGAGGATGCTGGCAGCAAATCAGACATGTTTCTTCGCTGAGGAACCAGGCCTCACTGAGGTCTGGTGATGCCTGTGGCACAGCGGAAAGTGGCAGGAAGACGGAACGTCTCTATTCCCTACTCAGGGAACTTGGGTTACATTCGTAACCGAGACGTTCCCTTTCGTTGTCACTCCGTGTTCCGTCAGATGAAGGCGAATGGGGATACCAGTCTAATCACGCCACTTTCCAGCTGTCTTCCAGTGCCCTGCATAAATCTGAGATCCCCGACGTACTTGGAATGGACAAAGGACTCCTATTTAGCACAGGAATACCAAGGTATACTGGGGAGCATAACCCATAGTTTTGGAGGGAATATGCATTTATTGCCAACCAATGGGGCTTAGAGAATACACATATGACCCAAAGGATGCATATGGGGAATCACTGGGGTGTCCAGCCGCAGGTGGAATATTTCAACCCCAGGGGTGGCAAGGTGGCTTGCCGAGGGAAAGACACATGCTCAGAGAGGCTTACAGTGGAAATACACAGGTGGGGGTCACACACGGGAGGCACCTAGCCAACAGGTCCTGAAACACTGCGTTCTGTCTACATAGACGCGGAGAGAACATATCGGACAAAGCAGTGCCAAGGCTGGGTCTGCCTCCTCCAGGGGCAGCACTTGCAGGTTCACCACCTGGTCCCAGAACGGAGTGGTAGGAACCTTGGGCACATATCGAGGCCGGGGTTACGACAACGTGCCGGAAAGCTCGGTGGCAATGCCCCTATCATGAGAGCGGAGTTTGCTACCCTGCTGGCAAAGGGTGTGATCGAGACTGTCCCTCTAGCCGGAATGAGGTCTGGCTTCTACAGCGCATACTTCATTGTCCACAAGAAAACCGGTCCACTGAAAACTGAGGTTCGTGCATGGGGTGAAGGTCTTTCGGCAGGTTGGGCGTAACTCGTACTCGGAAAGTGTCATGTTGCCATGCCCACCTCGGGACTAGGTCGCAAAGCCAAAGCTGAAGTGGTCTCATATGAAGCAATTCGAGCGGCGTTGCTGTGGCTGCAGATGCCATATGCCCCAGGAACCTCTGAAAAAGTTTCAGTGGAACCACATTCTTGCCCTCGAACTGTCTCAGGCAAGTCAGCAGTGACTGCGCGCACTCGCTCGCAAGCTGCACCGACATGGCCACCGAGTCGATATCCATACAGTGAAAAGAGATCCTCTGCACGGGACAAAGTTTGCTCCTTTCCAGTTGACCCGAAGGTCGATCGCTGCAAACCAATCCTGGGGCCGCACACATTTGAAAATGCGTTTGGTGGTTAGCATCTTGAACGCTATCCTGTGAAGGGAGTGGTTCAGCACGCGAAGGTCCAGGATTAGCCGTAACCCACCGGTTTTCTTGGGGACAACAAAGTACGGGCTGTAGAAGCCGGACCTCATTTCGGCTGGAGGGACAGTCTCGATCGCACCCTTCGCCAGCAGGGTAGCAATCTCCACTCTCATGATAGGGGCATTGCCACCAAACAAAGTGGAGCGGACTCCCCTGAAGCGGGGAGGAGACCGCGCGAACTGAATCGCGTAGCCGAGCCTGATAGTCCGAGGAACCCAGCGGGACAGGTTGGGAAGCTCTAGCCAGGCTCCTAACGACTGTACCAGTGGTGTCATATGAACCACAGACTTCCCACCACAGGGAATGACTGCCCCAGACACAGACGGCATATCGGCCTGGTGTGGGGGCACAGTCATTGACCGTGTCCTGACAGAGGAGACCAGGGAAGGACGAACGTTCCGTGGGGTTCTGCTCTGCCAGGGGCTGGTGACAGGGAGATGAGAGTGGTACGGTTGGAGGATGGCGCGCACTGTCATCCGACTCTGGGACAGAGGAGGACGAGGGGTGCATGGCTGGACCGGGCTGGACATGCATGAGGGCCGGACCAGAGTGCAAGGTTGGTGGCGGGACGCAGCTCAGAGCCCCGGGTCTGTCCTGCCCTTATGCATGTCTTTGAGCATCTGGGCCTGGTAGACCTGCAGAATGGCCATAGCATGCAGAGAAGTGGCTGCCTGACCTGCAGTACTGTAGGACTTCGCCACTAACGTAGATGAAAACCTACAGGCTTTGGATGGGTGCTTAGGCTTACCATGCGAAGAAGCACTCTGTGGACACAGTTGCAACACAACAGAGCATTCAAGCGGGGGGAGCCCAGTGTACCATAGGCAACGGCTTCATCGAGGGAAGGAAAGGTGTTAAAGTCAACGAGCGGTCACGGGAAGACATGGGGGTCTTCCAGGACTTCTAGATCTCATCATGCATGTCCGGAAAGAAAGGTATTGGGGTCGGCCGCAGTTGTGAACCGGCCGCTGTGCCCAAAAACCAATCATCCAGCCACGAGTGCTCGGGACAGGGTGGCGGAGACCACTCCAACCCTATGCTTGCGGCTGCCCGTGAAAGCATGGCGGTCATCTCGGGGTCGGACTCGACGAACGACTGCACACTCGAAGGAGGCAGATTTAGGCAAATGCCGAATTCTCATTTGACGAATCCTGCACTCCTGTGATGCCAACAGACATCGCGTCATCCTCTGCAGCGCCAAAGGAAACTGCGGGACATCTGAAGATGGGCCCGCGAGCGCCCCCTGGATGCTGACTCGCATCGTCACAGGAGGGGTAGGTGCAGGGCACGGACGTGCAGTCTGCGCCTTGATTCTGATCCACACCGTCACCCTCTTGGTCACCCTGGCCACCAACCGAAGTACTAGCTCTAGTCCTAGAGGCAGTAGATCGGGGTGTGGATGAGGGGACTCTCACTCTTGCGAGATCACTGAGTCTCGACTGTAGTGACGAGATGGTCATGTTCCCACAGAGAGAACATGAGTCATGCACGAGCGCTGCTCTAGCAATATCAATGCCCAAACACACTAGACAACCCTCATGACCAGCGGAGTCAGACAGGAGTCTGCCACATCCAGAAGTGCACGGACGAGGCACCTTTAAAAAGACAGATGCCTCGCCCTCACCATGGCATTTCTTTGCCATTGGCTTGTTTCATATTGATCGAAGCTGATAGTCTTTCTCTGTGAAAACCCCATTCGTCATCATCTGACAGAACTCGGAGTGACAACGAAAGAGAACTAAATGAACTGTGACTCAATAAGAGATTCTGAAAGTGCTGTAATTGTTTGTGTGATCACTTTGCTTAAAGATGGTTGTGACAGACCCAAATCACTGCTGCTTTATTGCATTTTCCCATTGCCAAATATCTTAATGTAGTGATTACATACATTTCTGGCGTTGTGGCATTCCTGCAATGTGTCTGAGATATTAGCGTGTCTCTAATAAGATCAGTCACAAACATGATCCCTGCACAATCTCATCTATAGCGTCTTATTAACTCACTGTCATCCATTGTGCGCAACACATTTCTTCTCTCTCTTAATCTCTCTGCCATTTTCTCCTCTGCTAAAGAAACTCTTAAGCCTCCAAAAAGTCCTCATCTGTACAACTTTGACCTTAAGACCTCTTTTAAATGTTAAGATGCTTTCTGGATTACTTTTTTCTTTACTAGGATTTTTTTTTTAATTTTATGCCCACATTTCTAAGAATTTTCTTAGAATTTTGTCACTGGGAGCGACTCTTTGCATTAAGATTCTTTATGAATACGGCCCCTGATCTTTCTGGTCTGGACTGGAGAGAGGCGCTCTCCACCTGTCTCGAAAGCTTCATCCCTTGGCATGCCGTATCTCAACTAGATCCTCAAGCCATCAAGCCTGCCATAAGGTCAGTCTATGGGTGTCAAAAGGGCTGATGTCCAGGCAGGCAGATCCATGGCTAAAGGCCGCACGAGCCATCAAGAAGACCACCCAGGGTCCAGAACATTTTCCCACCGAGACCGCCCAGTGTCCAGACCCTCGTCCCGCCGAGACCGCCCAGGTCTAGAGCCTCATCCTGCCGAGATCACCCAGGGTCCAGAGCCTTCACCGCTGGTCCCGTCCAGTCCAGAGCCTTCATCTCTGTTCCCGTCCAGTCCAGAGCCTTCATCGCTGGTCCCTTCCAGTTCAGAGCCATCGCTTCACATCAGCCACAACAAGCCTGCGCTTCACGTCAGCTATGCCGAGCCTGGGCTTCAACTCCACACCTGCCGTACCAGAGCTTCACGTCATGGATGCTGAGCCAGAGACTGTTCACGTCCCGTCTGCCCAGCCAGAGACTGTTCACGTCCTGTCTGCCCAGCCTGTCCCAAAGCCTGTCCCAGTCTTCGGCCAGTCATTCCCCGCCAAGAAAATTTTGGGATGGGGCTACCCATCCCAATCATGGCCGACTGAAAAGTTTCCTCCGCCATGGCCGCTGGAAGGTTGTTCACCCCCATTGCCACTCAAAGGATCCTCACCTCCCTGGCCACCTGAACTGCCAGCTCCGCCCTAAGGGCTTCTCCCTTATTCTGTGTCCGTTCTCGTCATTGTACTGTGTGTGATATGGTTCCTGAGTGTCTTCATTAAATATTCCTGTTTCCTGTGATTCCTCGTGCTTCCTGCCACTACACGATCCCTGAAACTATGCTGGTGACCAGCATACCAGCAACCAGCATTCCATGTTGGTCCTAGCATGCAAAACATACTTTATACTGGTGACCAGCAATGCTATATTTTTTAGCAGGGTAGATTCACATTTTGAGCAAATGTTATAAAAAATAAGTACTTCAGTTTTTGTATGATCGTCTAATTTTTTTTCTGATTAAAAACATTTAGAAGATTAAGGAGGAGGGAAAATGTAAGCATTAAATATTAGAAATAGTAAATATAACATTGTCTTACTGAATCGAAGAGGCTATGATGTTAGCAGCTGTAAATACAATTAGGCACTTACCATTTGACCGATGTCCCCTGGATTTCCAGTGTCTCCCTGTGAGGGACACAACATATACAACATTTAGTCTTAACTGTTAGTTCAGTAATTTCACTTAAATGTCAATTAAGATTACCTATGAATTGTCATTTAAGTGAAATTACTGAACTTAAATATACAAGCTTGATAAAAATGATCATTCTAGAAGAAAATTTCAAATGGCACTTAGAGGCTTTTGTATCTGAACTCTTCATATATATATATATATATAATTATCTTGACTTAACTATGTTAAGGCGGGCGTACACGGTACGAATTCTGACGGTCGGAAGATTGTATGTCCAGGCACACTTTACGAGTGAGTTTATCCAAAAATCGTACGGAGGCAGTTATATACGACATGATTTTATGACCTGCTCAGCTCCGAAGAAATCGCACAAAGTTCTGTGCTAAAAACTCTCATAACTGCATATAAAATATTGATACAAGCCGTGATTATTTTGCTATAGGCTCGTTTTCAGCATCGGGAAACGGACATCCGGTCACCCTTGTGTGTGATTGTGTGTGTGTGTCTGTGTGTGTGTGTGTGAATGAGTTAAAAAATGTAGTTACGGTAGGCTACACATTCAAAAAATAAAATGTCAAGCTCTCTGAATGATTAATTAGCCATTAAACCACCTCATGTGAGTGTTTGCAATTCATTTTGCTGTGAGAAGCTATAGCCGTGAACGGGGCTTGAGTGAGCTTGAGCACGTTGTGAGTGATGGCGCGGGTGCCAGATCCCATGTTGTCAGATCCACATAATGGAAAGGTGACAGTATCTGGACTTGTTTTTTGGATTAATGTCACACTTTAGAAAGTTATTAAAGTGGTTCGTAATATATTAATCTTATTTCCAAAACACAAGCTTTGAACTTATTTTGGATTTTTATGTAATTTCTTTCTTATTTTTTGCTTGTTTTTCATAGCAATATCTGGCAACATTGTTCTGTCGGCATTAATAAAAAAAAAAGCTTAGGCTGTTGACAAACTGTAATTGCTTTTAGGAAGATACAAACGTAATGATTATCTTGACATGTAAAAATTTGTAAGAAATGTATAACACTATCAAAAACAATAGCATAATAGCCTAGAGATGTTTCAGAATGAAATATGCCAAATACTGCCCAGATAGCAAACTGACATTGAATCAACGTGGAAATATGACATCGAAACAACGTTGATCTGACATTGTTTTGCTCATCGAATTAACGTTGAACCAACGTCAGACTCATCATTCTTTCAAAACTAACGGAAAATCAACTTGAAATCAACGCGTTGTTTCAACGTTATGAAAGCAAACCAATTTTCGATTTTCATTTAGCTTTGAAGAATGCCGCGTCTGACGTTGGTTCAACGTTAATTCGATGAGCAAAATCAACGTTGTTTCAATGTCATGAGAGACGTCGTTTCCACGTTGATTCAATGTCAGTTTGCTGTCTGGGTGGCCAGTAGGAACACGGCAAATGTCTTTCTTCTGTGGATTTCCTCAGCTCCTGATTGGTCAAGTTCAGATAGATCGACAAATCGTCTCATTCAACCGCACACACCTCACGAATGCAAGCCGACAGCTCCCGAACTTTTTCGACATGCTTAAAAATTATTTAGGACCCGAGAATTATATCGACCCTCTCGGCAGGTCGAGAGGTGCTCGGCTCAGCTCGTATCTTCCTCGCACACAATATGAGCCGCGACATGCGAGCATAACCGATTTACACTCGATTTCTCCCGAGTGAAAAAAATCATCTGCGAGCTCGTAAAACAGCATAAAATCACACCGTGTACGCCCGACTGGAAAACTGGTTAAAGAGAAAACATCTGACCAGTGGCCTCTAAAGACAATGGCATTGCTTGCAAAATTAACATTTGACCCCCTACTCCCTTCCTCTGAGCATCTTATCTACATCTTCTCTCTTTTTCTCTAAGTCAGTAACACTGAAAACTCACACAAGAATATATATGGTTTTAATGTGAAAATGATAATCTTTCAAATGATTGTTTAGTATCATTTTAAAGGTCTCAGTGTGACTGGTATAGATGTCTCATTTCCAGAAGTAAAAGAAAAGGTAATAAGGTTTTTAAGAAGTTTAGGAATAACTGGCACACAAAGCAATGTGGTCTCAAGGCATTCCAAAGGTGTAAATGCCACTGTTCTTAGCAGATGGTCATCCTCTTCCCCCAGTAAATATTGTAAGGATTTTGGCCAGGCGAATCAAACCCACCCCCAGGGGTTTTCTGAAACACACACACGCACACACAAACCTTTCCCTTCCCCCACACATCGGAATGTGTGGAATGTTTTTGAACAAAGAGAAGGACTTTTGGTGTTTAAAAACATACAACAAAATGTTTTCAATGGTTTTTATGTATATGTGTCTTCCCCATGTCACAGTGAAATAACTTTGTTTGGTCACAGCGTAAATAGAAATTAAAAATACCTTCGTCATGCATTTTAAACATAAGTGTATATTCCTTTGATATAACATAATGTTCCTTGATATCTCTAGAATGCTTATTGAATGGAACGCTCGAATATGCATGGAGATGTAAAGTAAAGGGTATTTTTGATTGTTTTACTGCCAATGAAGATCAAAATTGTTTGACCATAAAACCCTCATTGAACACACCCCCTTCCATGAGAAGCGCGCGCTGAGGAACAAAGGACAATAAATCAAGAGTTCCCGCGAGCTACGTCCATCTCCCCGATTGGCTCAAGCCAACAGGAAAGGGATGGATTCCGCCAAGGGGATAAAGGAGTGCGCAGGCTCCGCCTCTCCCCTTCTTCGTCTGACCCCCCTCAGAGAAACATGTAATGCTTTCGTAGATCTCCTCACGGAGATCTGATCCGACCATGGATCTTTTCTTTTGTTCGTCTAAAAGTCTCGTCTTTTCTTCAAATGGACTACAAAGTTCGTCTCACAGGAAAGGAAGTGGACTTTGCCGAACTATTTCCTCGGGTAACGTCACCTCAAAGACTTTCAGCCTTTCAAACACTCGAGCTAAATGCCGAGGAACGCCACGAAGCCATGAACGAGCCGGGACGGGCCGCGCAAACACGCTGCGGCCGTGCTTCACGTGACGCACGCGCGCAGGACAGGCGCACCTCCAGCCGACACGTGGCCCGAACGGGCCAAGCAACGAGCCAGCGACTCACACAGACCAAATGTGCCCTGCAAGTATACCTTTTTTTAGAGCTTCTAAGAAGCATTAAGGTGTTTTCGTGGTGTTCAGAAAGGTTAACTGACTGTTTTGGGGAACGTAACACACTCTCTCTCTCACTTGCTCTACAACTCACTCTATCTCACTCTTTCTCTCTCTCTCAAACTCACTCAACTTACGCGTATGCATTGTCTAAACGCTCTGCGTTGTCTTAGTTTGTGTTTAATGTTTGTAAATACATGTATCATTGTAACGTAGTAAATGCTTAAGTAGTAACTTTATTAAATACAAAATATGCTTACCTTGACTGATTGTCTTGCTCATAATACGGGTCAATGAAATGTCAATATAAAGCTACACGCTTTACAGAACTATAAATACCTAAGAGGGTATTTGGTTCTAGAGCAGGGAAGGCAGATTCTAGTGGCCACAGAATTTGTTTTCACAAGCTATATAACTTAATTGAGCTAATTGATTTTGCCTGTCTTGTAAAACGTGGTCCTTGCAATCAATAACAATTAATTTGTGGTTGATTGCGGGGATGCACATGTATGCATATGGGTAAAATTAATAAATTAATATGTAAGACCGGTCTGATCCAAATCTGTATGAATAATTATTAATTATCAATTATTAATTATGATATGCAAATTCCCCCCTGATCAGACCCGCCTAGAGTCTTTACAATATGTTGGGGGAATAAAGTAACTTTCCATTGTAACCTGATTTACATATCAGGTAAGGTCTGGCTATATAAGGAAATGCAACAGAGAGTTCAGGACTGCCTTTTCTGTACCAGATCATGATATGCTGTGTCTTCGAGGCTCTGCATTTATGTAGTTAATATGTTGGGTAAAGTTCTTTGTTCTAGAAACATTTGATGGTTTGCATTGATTATCTTTCAATTGATTGTGGAATTGTAATAATACATTTACCTAACATATTAAATTGTTATATTTGATTATTCTAACAGACTTTGACTTTATTTTCATTAGAGTTAAAAGGAATAGTCAAACATTAACATGTATTTAAAGGGTTAGTTCACCCAAAAATTAAGTCATTAATTACTCACCCCCATGCTGTACCAACCCCGTAAGACCTTCGTTCGTCTTCGGAACACAAATGAAGATATTTTTGATTAAATTTGAGAGCTGTATAACTACCACATTGGCTCCTAAAGGACTGCCTCTTGACGGCCCAGAAAGTCAATGAAGAAAATGTTTAAATATCCCAAGTGACTACCGTGGCTCAACTATATGTTTATCAAGCGACGCGAATACTTTTTGTGCGAAAAAACAAACAAAAATAACGAGTTTATTCGACTATTTCTTTTCTTCCTTGTAGGCCAGAACGAGACTTCCTTAGATTTCCACGACGCATGCGCGAGAATTGCGATCTGAAGTGGTGTAAGCTGATGTGAGCAGATCGCAAATCTCGCGCATGCGTCGTGGAAATCTAAGGAAGTCTCGTTCTGGCCTACAAGGAAGAAAAGAAATAGTCGAATAAACTCGTTATTTTTGTTTGTTTTTTCGCACAAAAAGTATTCGCGTCGCTTGATAAACATATAGTTGAGCCACGGTAGTCACTTGGGATATTTAAACATTTTCTTCATTGACTTTCTGGGCCGTCAAGAGGCAGTCCTTTAGGAGCCAATGTGGTAGTTATACAGCTCTCAAATTTAATCAAAAATATCTTCATTTGTGTTCCGAAGATGAACGAAGGTCTTACGGGGTTGGTACAGCATGGGGGTGAGTAATTAATGACTTAATTTTCATTTTTGGGTGAACTAACCCTTTAATGATGCACAGATATCATTGTTAAACCTTTTTCATTTTATGGAGTCAGATGAAACGAGTTAACACATAAGATTAAATGTTATGCATTTAATTAAAAATCACGCAAAGATATAACACGCATGAAACCTTCACCTCAAATTGGATCGATTTTGTAGGCCTTACAAGTGAATAAGACAAACTTCTCCCCAGAGATGGGAACGAGATGTTACATCATTGCATTGATACTATGGGAACATATTCAGTGTGTGCCATTGTCTGAATAACCTGTTCACATGGGCCAATACTATTGGCTGTGGACAAAGTCAGGTGACACTACGTTGTATGTGACTGTCTATAAAATGGCACCTGAACACAGAGTCATCAGATTAATTTGTCTTAAGAAGCTTCACAGGCATAATTGAAGTATGGTAATGCGACGCAGTGTCTCGTTCCCATCTCAGGGAAATGGGATATGTACATATCCACTGAGATGTTTTCAAACATGTTTGCAAACATCTTGCTAAGGCACACCTCTCGCAACGCCTTTGAGGGAGCCACACTTGGAGTAGAATGGGCTGTGATGGCAAGTGGCGAAGTGATACTGTGTGACTTGTAACCACATCCAAAACCCAATGTGATATAGTTTGGTAGCAGTGAAACACAGATTACCCCCCCCCCCTCCCCAGTATCATTAAGCCATGGAATGGTATCATTAAGCCAAAGCATTAAGAATGGACAGAAGGTCCATTAGAAGCTCTCAAATAAAATCCAAGGATATCCTTCATAAAAACAGTAGGGGTTTAACCCCAGCAATACTGCAATGCTCTCCTGGCTGGCCCACATCACACCTCTCTTCATCTCTCTGCAATGGCTACCACTTGCTGCTCGCATCAAGCTTAGATGCTCAGCACCCTCCTACTTCCACTCACTCTTATGAGTCTACGCCCCTACCTTCACAGAGAGGCACAAAATCACTCTCCAGAACATTTTCATTCACTGTTCCTTGCTGGTGGAATGACCTTGCCGCCTTCATCTGGAATGCAGAATGCCTGACAATATTTAAAAGACAGCTGAAAACTTCATCATAAAAAAATATATGCTTTCACTTTCCTTTAATCCCTCTCTATTCTATCTTATGCTACACTAAGCAATGTCTTAAACTTTGTACTTTTAGCACTTTTATTAGCACAGTTTATATGCCTTTCGCAATGAATTGCTTGCTGTTTTCCTTATTTGTAAGTTGCTTTTGATAAAAGCGTCTGCAAGATGAATAAATGCAAATGTAAATGTATCCTGGCCAATTTTGCCCATTGGCCTCTGTCCACCATCATGGCCTTCAAATCCCCATTTATACTGATTGGCATGAAGCATGAAGACTTTGTCTCCTCTATACCAATAAACTGGTGTGTGGTGGGCATTCTGGTGCACTATGGCTGCCGTCGCATCATCCAGTTTGATGCTGCACGTTGGTGGTGATTGAGGAGATCCACCCTTCCATGTAATGTGCATGAAATAGAGGGTGGAACCACTTGTTCATGAGCCAACACTGGAAGGTCCTCATGTGCAGCATGTCCAACTATTATGTTGGTGGCAGCGGCCATCAGACCCAACAGAGTCTGGCATTGGTGGACAGAAATCTCCTTTGCCAGTTTTAAGCTGCCCAACATAGTGAGAATAAACTCTACTCAAATGGGAGACATATGTGCCTACATTGAAATCGAGTCCCAAACTACACTGAAAAAAGCAGTCGTCTAATTTGGAGAAAACTGATTTTTATTGTGGTTTAATCTTAAATCCAAGTACCTTAGATGAGTGAAGAAAATGTCACAATGCCGAACCACCAACTCTTTCGAGCCAATATTAGCCAGTTGTTTATGTAATTTAGTACACATATGCCTAGGAGTCACAATGGAGCCAGAGCTGAATCCATGCAGTTGGTGAAGTTGCGAGGAGACATGGCCAGGCTGAAGAGAATCCGATATTGCTAAATTTCGCTCCTGAAACTTAATGTGCACCGGCATATCTCTATATCAAAGTAGATTTCCTTCAAGCCAATCCTCAGATTGAATTTAAGGTACAATCAACATCAACATTAACAACTTGTCAATCTGCAGAATACGGTTCAAACGACTTAGAATGAGGATGGGACACAACCCTCCATCCTTCTTAAGAACCAGAAAACAAATGCTGTAAAAACCTGAGACTTTCATTGGGAAGGGAATATGTTATATGGTCCCTTTGTCCAAAAGAGCCTGTAACTCCTATGTTAACAACATAATCTGATATTGAAAGATCAGCCATTAAAAGAGGAAGACGAGACTTCATCTGAATTCTGTAGCCTTTTTTTATATTTCGCAAAACCCAAGGAGAGACGATTAGCAAAAATTGTCAAACTTTATGAAAGGGGAATCAGTTTGGAAATCTTGTCGTTTTGAGTGGGGTGTGTAGGCAAATGGAGATCCCCAGGCAGCAATGACTGTGCAGAGATCTGTTTTTAGACTTAAAAGGCTGGGATTGTGTCTGGCGACTAGGCCCTCGGCCCTTGGCCCTTGCGAGGGGGACAAAAGCTTCCACACTGGTCTTCTGTACCACCCTCCAAGAGCTCTGCCCAGGACAAGAGGTTGAGGCCATAGGCTGCTGGAATGCCTCAGATTGCTTTTTGGTTACCTGAAACCTATCAACTTTGGTATTGACCATGTCTTCAAATAGGTCAGACAGGGGCATCTAGTAAAAATCCAGATCCTTCAGCAAGCCCGCCTGGTAGGCCTGACCCACTGCTTCATAAACCTTGCCAACCAAAGCAGATGTGATACAACATGGCCTTGAAGGCAAGGCAGTCTTTTTTAATGACAACACCGAGGTGGGAGAGAGATAGCCCATGTGGCATTGAATTATACCCGTGCTTACTCGACTTTCAACTTTTACGAAAAAAGTTACGTAAAATGGATATCTATTGGTACATGGTAAATGGTAAATGCATTATCATGCTAAGCCTCCAACTGCGAACACTTTGATAAGTTTTGAATTTAGCGATACTTACCGGGAGCCCTGGAACTCCCCGAGGACCATCTTTTCCTGTGTCCCCAGGGGGTCCTCTTGGGCCTGGGGGGCCTGGAGGCCCAGGAGGTCCTGGGGGCCCTGCTTGACCCTGGTCACCCTGTGTAAGTAATAATATACATGCGTCAAAGTCAATGAATAAAACATACATTAACATTGTTTTTATACAGTGAAAGGGAGAAACAGACCGAAAAGGTCATCGATAAGCTAACAAAGAGAATCTTGAAGCTCTCTTATTTCATAGTAAGGGTGGGCGATATGACCAAAATCTTATTTCACGGTATGAGACATTTTATTTTACGATAACTATACATATCTTGATATAGATATTTTTATTTCATTTTTCTTATTAAAAATAGGAACAAAGAAGGAAATTAGAAACAGTAGGACAAATAAAATAGACCAACGATACAAGTTAAATATACTTTATGTTTTTCAGCTACAGTAAGTTTAACATTTACTAAGAAAATACTGTGTATGTCAGTCAAATCTTATTGCACTCAACATCAAGCAAGTCCCACTTTATATTTTCTCATTCATGCATGTTTCTTTATCGCACTTACATATATATACATACATATATAAATTTAAGTAGTATAGCTCTTATACATCAATAACTTTAAGTAGCACTGTGCTATGCGGATTTATTTACATACTTCAAAATGAACGATATACTGAAATCTCTAATGACAGACACTTTATTATGGTGACAAATCAATGCCAATAATAACCGAGCACACAACTGATGCTGGCGCATGTGGTAAAAGACTTCCATGAGAGGATAACAAATCTACACGCGAGGAAACGGGAACTCACGAGCTCATTCAAAAACCGCATGACATCTCATGATCATCCGCATGACATCCGCATGATCATTCGCCACGCTCTCGCGCTTGATCTGCTCTTGCCTGCTGCTTTTGCTCGCTCAAAAAGTTTTATTTTTGGCAGTCGAGGGGCGGGACTTACTGTTTTAATAACCTCAAATGTCATTGGTTACTTCCCCATTGGTTACTTCCGCATTGTCATTGGTTACTTCCAGAAGTCCATTGTGATTGTAATGACCCGTAATTCACTTGACTTGATACATGAGACATTACTTAACTTGTTTTATTTATTGTGGTTTATTAATGTGTTATGTGATTTAATGCATTGTTAATATAGAATAGATTCTTCCCATTTACTTTATTAACAGGAAGTCTTACTAGTTATTGCATTGTGTTGTTAAGAGATATTTACAGACTGATGCATATCCATGGTTATTAGCTTACAAAAAGTTAGATGATTAAAATCACTATCTAATATTTTAATATGCTGGGTTTAAACTGGGTATATACATCACTTCCGGTTGGCCGGTCGCATACGGTCTAGCCGCAGAAGTTCAGATATTTCAACGGATCCAAAGCTCAAAACGGATCCGAATTTTCCGCAAACGCATATGATCGGAACTCCCCGCAGCTCCCGTATGACTCTCCATTGGAAATGAATGACTTCCGGTCCGACAGCGGTCGTTTGTCGTGTGCAGTGGAAAGGCGGCTTTACACCTTCACCGGAAATACTGCCGTGCATAGAGCCCATTACGGGTCAACGCCATATCCAATCACAACTGACTTCCAGAAAAGGGGAAGTAACCAATGACATTTGAGGTTATTAAAACAGTAAGTTCCGCCCCTCGACTGCCAAAAATAAAACTGTACAAATACAAATACAGCCGCTCAGTCTTTTTGCCACTCACTGTGAGTAACTGCAGGCACTCCGGTCGACGGTGACTTCATGCGCATTCCCTCTATTGCTTGCAGGGGGAGATGTCATGCTGGCGCACGGTTTTTGAATGAGCTTGCGAGTTCCCGTTTCCTCGCGTGTAGATCTGTTATTCTCTCACGGAAGTCATTTACCGTGCGCGCGCCAGCAACAGTTGTGCGCTCGGTTATTATTGGCATTGATTTGTCGTCATACTTTATTCCGCGGTCATGATATACTGTCATACCACCCAGCCCTATCACACAGTATTAAAGCAAAAAGTTTCAGCATATGGCAGCAGATGTAATATTTTCTCTTTTCATTAATCCAATCAGTTATGATGATACAGTTCAGTTCTACTGTGAGAATTCACAATTTTGCAGCATGATTGCTTCTAATTATCTCTAGATTATTTTTAACCTTGCCTAGACTGAGTATGACTAAGTATGTTGATCAACACTTAGCTACTTTTCATTCATGTTAAGTAGCTACTTCAGATGGTTGTAATGGGCAACAGAAAGAATCATCTGGCCATATTAATTAGAAAAATAACATTTGTGATTTATACTTGTGCTTTCAGTTTCCTTGTTCTGTATTTTTTTTTTAAAGACAACTTATACATTGTAATTTGTATGAGGTCACTAACCACAAAGATGGCTTGGATCACAGAACTCAGAGCCTCCCTTTTTTGCAGTATTATATATTTATGAACAAATAATATATAAAGTTTATCCTGTCAATTAAAAGCTGCAGACTGTAGTTTTTCCTCTTTGTCACCATGTCTGTTCATAATCTGCAATTTCAGTTATCTCAAATTGTTAATGTTAAGAATAAATATCTTCCGATATTTATTCTTGTTTTAGTATGGGCCCGGTTGCAATCTCTTTTTTTCTGTAGCCACTCCGAAGTCTTTTGCATTTTACAACAGGTGACTCCAGTTGTCACTGGTGATTGTCGTTTGAACCTTTCTGGATCAGCCATCAAATTGAAAAGTTTAATTATATCAAGTGCTGTGAGAAAAGGCTATAAATCTCCACTGCCAACATCTAACTAGTCGAGACACCTTCTTTATGAGTACAGATTTGATGTAATGACGCAAAAATTTGCTCAAATTTAGTATTTAGTACAAATTTAGAATTAAAAACATGGTAACACTTTATGGTAAGGGTACATGAATTATCATGAATTCATGTATAAGTTAATGCATGAATTATGCATTCATTCATGCATTAATATTTCATGAATCATCAGGAACTAACACAAGTTCAACGTTTTTCATTCATGACTTCATGAATGAACAACACCTTAATTAAAACATTAACGAGATGTTTAGGACGAGCACATCATCATGAATTAGTCATTGATAGATAATGCTTAGTTAATGATGACTTCTGTATTTGATTTACAGAATGTGTGTGCTATGAGCTGTGATTGGTCTATTATGGTGTCTGTCCAATAGTCATCATTAACTAAGCATTAATCTATTAATGACTTCATCATGTGTGTGGCCCCTTAAATAAAGTGGTGACTAGGTCACTGACCTAGACAAAGAACAAAGAAAAGATCATGATCATGCGTAATAAATCATTATTCATGATGATGTGCATATCTTAGTTAATGTTTTAATTAAGGTGTTTTTCATTCATGAAGTCATGAATGAAAAACGTTGAACTTGTGTTAGTTCCTGATGATTCATTAGAAATAATGCATGAATGAATGCATAATTCATGCATTAATTTATACATGAATTCATGATAATTCATGTATCCTTACCGTAAAGTGTTACCAAAAACATTATTACAAGCTTACCGTTTTAATCGAGCTAAGGCAGGCAGATATTTTTGAACGCTGGCAGTACTTTTTTCAAAAATTTATTTAGGATAATTTTTAACCATAAAAAAGTTACGGACTACAGCTTTTAAAAAAAATAATAATAATTTGTGTTTTTAGTTACATAAAAATTATTATTAATGTGATTTAAACTAAAGTAGAAAATAAATCATTGTCTTAAATAATGAATGATCTTGTCACAATATCTTAAATGAGACTTTTTTTTTTTTTTTTTTTTTACTAGCAAATACTAATGTAATTCATTTTAATAGTTTTCCACTAGTCTAGCTGAGGACTGAGGTAAAAGCAGAAGAATGGAAAGCAAATGATGGGCCAAAGATGAGAAGCCCATTCTGACGAAGCAGTGTGAGAGAGGACAAGCACTACCTTAATAAGTCGACGTTTAATGAGTTGTTGATCAGCAGAAAGAAAGCCATGATTTATCTTAGGGAAGACCATCTGAGCAGGTTTGTGAGGTCAAAACATGTCGGAGATCAAAGTTAAGAGAAGTTGGAGAGGAGAGAGTTGCATGAGGTCCCAGAAAGAGGAAAGGGAAAGGGGAAAAAAAGGGTACAAAAATTGATTAGATTAAAGTAATTGAGTCAGAGAACCCAATCCAGTGCCTTCATGCATTAGTAAAAATTGACATTTTCCATGGTGCCAGCAATGGAAGTCTCAACTGCCTTTGGCAGCAAATGTTGTAATTACCCCCTCATGGGTAATAGGACACCTACTCTGACAGAGCTAATACAAAGAAACATGTCAACTTCTACTCACTGAAAGCACTGTCATCACAGTTTTCTTTGAAGCCAAGGCAGACTTCAGGAATTGCAGACACTGAAATCCATCATGCAGATTTATTTGTCTCTGTCCGTGGACTCTAAATGAGATGTTTACATAGCCAAACTTTCTCAAGGGGGCACCAGTAATTAAGAGGACACAAATAATCTGTCACTATAGATTTAAATATTGGGAAAGTGTGGATTTGTGGTGAATCAAAGATATCAGATCTGAATCTCGCTACTTCAGTTTAGCATTTATTACATCTCTTTTGAGTTATTCCATTCATAGGAATACAAGCACACAGTGGTCAGAATATTTGGTGGCTAGAAAAATGAATCTTTTTTTATAATTAATCACGTTTCACTATTAGGGGAAATAAACAGTTGCTCTGCTGTGGATGCATAAATTCCTGTCACCACTCTGCATAATAATGACAACCCTGGAACTTGGAGAGATTGTCATAATGAGTGAAAGTATTTTTATTTATTTATTTATTTTATTTTATTATTATTATTATTATTTATTTATTTTTTTGATTGGTTGGAATGGATTTATCAGACACAATTGTGTTTGGGCCAAGTCTTTCACTGCATAGGCACAGGGGACAAATGCTCTGTTGATATTTCTCAGTGTGTATAATCCATAGAGTCTGCCTGGGCCGTTTGGCAGAGCCAACAAACCTTCACAGTCAGGATTTGATTGCTGTGTAATGCAGCCAGGGTGGGTAGAACAGGTAGTCCCTGGGGACAAACAGCATAACAATGGCACAATACAAACACAACAGCAAGCATGAAAATAAAAACCATACACTCAAGAAGGCTTGCACTTACCTCTTTTTTGCATTTGTTTTGTATCAGTTAGAAGTTGTTGTCTAATTGACAAAGAGGCTTTTACACACTTCTCTGTTATGATGTGAAAAGAATTTTGGGTAACACTTTAGAATACGGTTCCTTCGTTAATGAATAACTACACAAGAACTAATGAGTAACACAATATTAACAATCTAGTAACTATTATTAACTAAAAAGAAACTCTGATTAACGAACTAGTAAGTAATAGCGCACAGACGGAAGTGGTAGTTCACTATTAAGTAATCAATAACTACTATTTTTTTAATACTTCCCAGAGAACTACTGAAAAACTTTATTAACAATCTAGTAACTACTATTAACTAAAAGAAATTCGTATTAACGAATTAGTAAGTAATAGCTCACAGATGAAAGTGTTACTAGATACTTCTGGGGGAATTACTAATTATTTGGATTCGTATTATAAAGTGAAGATCATTGGAACTAACTACTAATTACTCAAGTGTTACTAAAGACATTTTCTAAAAGTGTACTAAAGTTCACCAAAAATCTCAAACGTTTGCACAAATCATGACTAGATCATGTAGTAACACTCGAGTAATTACTAGTTAGTTCCAATGATCTTCACTTTATAATACGGATCCAAATAATTAGTAATTCCCACAGAAGTATCTAGTAACACTTTCATCTGTGAGCTATACTTACTAATTATTTGGATCCGTATTATAAAGTGAAGATCATTGGAACTAACTAGTAATTACTCAAGTGTTACTACATGATCTAGTCATGATTTGTGCAACCGTTTGAGATTTTTGGTGAACTTTAGTAACTTTTAGAAAATGTATTTAGTAACACTTGAGTAATTACTAGTTAGTTCCAATGATCTTCACTTTATAATACGAATCCAAATAATTAGTAATTCCCGCAGAAGTATCTAGTAACACTTTCATCTGTGAGCTATTACTTACTAATTCGTTAATAAGAGCTTCTTTTAGTTAATAGTAGTTACTAGATTGTTAATAAACTTTTTCAGTAGTTCTCTGGGAAGTATTAAAAAAATAGTAGTTATTGATTACTTAATAGTGAACTACCACTTTCGTCTGTGCGCTATTACTTACTAGTTCGTTAATCAGAGTTTCTTGTTAGTTAATAATAGTTACTAGATTGTTAATATTGTGTTGCTCATTAGTTCTTGTGTAGTTATTCATTAACGAAGGAACCGTATTCTAAAGTGTTACCGAATTTTGATTTGATCTCAGGAGTGCACTTAGCCAAACACTATTTCTTACTCGTTTACTTTGGATTTGTTCTCAGCAACGAACTTAGCCAAACACAGATTATATGTCTTTCTTTCTCATTTGCTTTGGATTTATGCTCTTGTATTGGGTAACACTTTATTAGTTTCACTTTATTTGGATGGTCCCTTTAACACATTCAGTTGACTATAAGTGGCGTTGCATCTACATCTCTACTAACTCTCACTAGAGTGTTAGTAGAGTATTATTAGACTGGTAGGGTTAAGAATAGGATAAGTTGACATGTAGTTGAAAGTTACTTATAGTCGGTAACACTTTATTTGGATAGTCAATCTGTAGATGCTCTACAAAGTATCAACAGAGTATCAGTATCATTTCTCTACTGAATGTCTGCAGACTTTTAACAGTTCATCTGTACATGATTTACAAACTATCTAATTTACTAATTATCATAAATTCATAATTGAATGTCTGTAGACATTCAACAACGAAGTGTTTGTAGTACATCTATAGATATACAACAAACCATCTATAACCCATAAGAAGCATTTAAAACCACATTTGCAACTATCAGCAGCGGTCCCTGAATGTATATTTTCATTTTCATTATGGCAGGCTACATATCTATAGCAACCCTGTATCACACGAAATACGTTCTGAGGAAACTATTTTGCAAATCGCAATTACGTTACATGCCAACATATAAGCAGTGCTATTACGTTGGTCCTTAACCTAATATGTCTCATTGTTAATACGTAGGTTTAGTACGTTATTTTCAAAGATATGAAACGTACGTTTTTGTATGTTTGGATAGATGCTAAAACGTATAATATGGACGTATTTGCAACATTTAAACGTAACCTTATTACGTTTTTACAGCTAAAAAAAAGTTAACTATTTACGTATATTTCATATCATAACGATATCTGTATACTTTCACTTTTAAAGATAAATGTAACAAGACCCCTTAATCCTACTCCAAAAACCTAAACATATTTATTTTATACAGAATATAAAAAACGATAAAACGTAGGCCTAATGGACAGAGAGATGTGTTGGTAAATGAGTTTTAGCATTAAAATATATTTTGAGCCACTAATCATACTCCTACCCCTAAACCTAACCATAACCATTCCTTAAAACTACGTAGGCTAACACAATTATGAAGAAATAAAAACATAACAGACAAGTATACATTTCACAATAATTTATTTATTTATTATTAACATTACCAAAAGTCGTTCACATGATGATGCGTTGCAGTCACAGTCCTCTGGCAGTATTATAGTAGTTGTGTATAGAGGTACAGATCAGAATTAAAGTTATTAACGTTAATCCATGAAAATGTTAATCTGATTTCGGTTCGCTCTCTGTCTGAAGGCGCTCTTCTCCATTTCAAATGTACTAGTCAAGTCAAGTCAAGTCACATTTATTTATATAGCGCTTTTCACAATACAGATTGTATCAAAGCAGCTTCACACTGTACTACACCGACTGAAACACAGCATGTCGCAATTTGTGACGAAGAAGGCAAGAGCCAATGAGCGTTTGATATCACTGCTGTAAAACATGTCGTAACGCTTCTTGAAGGCGCATTATTTGAATTTGAATTCATCACCAGCGCGGATTTGACGTTTGCGGTCTCTGCTGAGAAATGAAGATGAAGATCTGGATAAAAGGCTGAATTTGGATCTGTTTCTTGCAAACAACATATGGATTCTAGGATTTGGTTTACATCAAGCTAATAAAATGTATGTCTTTTGTGAATGTATCAGTATGTTGTGTTTTATTGGAGACAATGCTTTTTGTGTAAATATATTTATGAGTAACGTTGGCCTATTATATTAATAAATGCGAATGAAAACCTAATTGATATGACAGTTGAATGCAATAGAGTCAAAACTTTAATGCTACGATTATGCATAAATAGTAAAGAAACCTGCTTTGGATGTATTATGTTCAGGAAAAACGTAATAGCACTGCAATAGTATTAGGTTAAGGACCAACGTAATAGCACTGCTTATATGTTGGCATGTAACGTAATTGCGATTTGCAAAATAGTTTCCTCAGAGCGTATTTCGTTTGATACATAGTTGATCTATAGCTACTCAGCTGCATTGCTACAACACATTTGTAGATTTTCAGTAGCATCTCTGTATCTTTGCATTTTCATTATGGTAACCCAGATAGCAAACTGACATTGAATCAACGTGGAAATATGACATCGAAACAACGTTGATCTGACATTGTTTTGCTCATCGAATTAACGTTGAACCAACGTCAGACGCGTCATTCTTTCAAAACTAACGGAAAATCAACTTGAAATCAACGCGTTGTTTCAACGTTATGAAAGCAAACCAATTTTCGATTTTTATTTAGCTTTGAAGAATGTCTGATGTTGGTTCAACGTTAATTCGATGAGCAAAATCAACGTTGTTTCAATGTCATGAGAGACGTCGTTTCCACGTTGATTCAATGTCAGTTTGCTGTCTGGGAATCTACATATTATGTACTGTATAGTTACTCAGCTGCATTGCTACAGCACATTTGTAGATTTTCAGTAGCATCTCTGTATCTTTGCATATATGGTAATCTACATAATTTGTATAGC